AGTGATAAACGGAGTGTTAAACGTGGGAGGGCGCTGGTGCCTGTGAGGTAGTTTCGACCTAATGTTACGACTGACTGTCGAGCGAGTAAGTGGAGACGAGCGAGGCAGGCAGGAGCGCCGACGAGCTCTGATCGCAGTGAGACTGGAGCGGAGCTCAACAGGCAGGACTGGAGACAAGTTGTGTATTGAGCGAGGTATCTACAGAGCGAAATACACGATGGCTTACCTGGAGACAAGAGGTCGAAACTAGAGTCTCCAGGTAGCAAGGGATCCAGCTATATACAGGGAACGAACAATGGGCGCTAGAGAACAATAGCGTCGCCATGGGTACGGAGTACAAGGGGTGTAGGACAATAGCGGACGTGGGAACAAAGGGAGCTATTGTCCGTGTGTGGACAAAGGGAAACCGTAGCGAGTAGTGAACAATAAGGGAACGTACAAGGCAGTGGTCCGAATCGAAAAGGAAACATAGCGCCGTGAGGGCGGTTCGTGACAACACTAACAAACAACATATGTACTCCTATAAAGGTCACAGCCATGTTGCTTCTCTGTCAAACCCACCCACACTGCTCAACAATTTCTCTATTCCTCACTCATCCCCATCTCTGTCTCTTACCCTTGTAAGTGAATGTTCAAGGTCTATTTGCACCATATATATCTAGAGAATTCGTTCTGATTAGAGGCAGTCAATTTTCAACAACCCACATTGGGATTCAAAATCGAGTATAATGTTGAACATTGAAGGCTAGCATTTCTTCAGGCTGCTATGATCTGCTAATCTGATAAGTGCTGAGGTTACAGTGTCTCAACCCCAGCAAATCTATGGTGCAGTTCACTTAGAGACCACCACTTTTGTACGCAGTTAAGCGCCGGTATGTAACTTCATCAGATTGTCACGAAACGCTTCCGTTATTTGCCATTTGCAAGGATTTGAATAGGGGAACTAATCCCCAAAAGTGATTCTCAATTGGGTCAAAACTGGCGAAGGTGACCTCACCAGTAAGGCCGCAGCACGTGATATGAGCGTTTATATACTAAAGAGGTAATCTATTCATTACATAATGTAGAGAGACGCCCGTTGCCTGTGTCGGCCACTCCCTTGTTGAATCAGCTCGACCGCAGAGCCTCTGGCATGTTGACCAATGAGATGCCAAGGTATACTAGCTTTAGTGCTTTCAGGAGGAGCACTTCACCACTGCTGAACATAACCAATAAGTCTAAGGTCGCAGTGATACACAACAGGCTGTATTGGTGTTGTGAGGGGGTCAAAGCCGTTGAACCTAGCCTAAGGCCAAGTCACGTGACACTTGAGCGCGCGCCTAACTGCGTACAACATTGGCGGTGACTAAGTGAACTGCACCATACACCAAGCCCCTTAGCCAGGCCTCTCGAGACTCAGAAGGTCCTGCTTGGACCACTCTTGCATCCAACAGCACATCAGATGAGGAAGATGTCCCTGACTCTACAGCAACAACTCCTGAACCTGCTGAATGCCAGGTTGTATCTCAACCTCTGACCACCTATGCTGTTTGGGCCAGAAAACACTTGATAGCACCAGGGTCTAACCAGCAGCCCCATAACATGTCCAAGGTACATACAATTTAGCATCTTAGCAAGCAAGCTGATTTGTCTAATTTTCATTACAATCACAATTGACAATCACACTACATTGGGTTTTACAGAGTCCACAGACCAACCATGGCAGTATAAGCAACTTGAAAAGAAAGGCAGCTGCAGCCTTGGATGCACAAGTCTCTCCATTATCTGAACCTCTGGCAAAGAAAACAAGGTTGACCCCAACCCTTCAAACTGCAAGTGCTCAATTGAAAGACAATTCACCAACCCACCCATGGTTGCCCACCTTTTCCTCCCAACACACTTTCAACGCATCACACACAGCATCCCCCTTGACAGACACTATTCTGCCAGCACCATGTAGTGAAGTGCATGCAACTTCGACAGGATTGAATCGCCGACCACGGAAGACCGAAACCCCGAACAACGCGACTTCCAGCACCACAGACTGGGCACTTGTGGACAGTGCGTTGCAAACGCGTATAGCCACCGCTCATATTCTGCCAAGCTACGCACGGTCGCCACCAGGATGCAAGCCAGATGGCATATCACTCAGAGACGAAGGATGGGCGCACGTTCCGGTGGCAAGACTCGCTGATTTGGGGAAGGGAAGCAAGGGAAAAGGGCGGGCGCAGTCAGGATGGACAGCGCCAAGATGGTCGAACGTGGGCGAGTTCAAAGCGCGGCTCGACATGATGTACGGGCATGGGGACATAAATCGCGGTCTGGGCAGAGGTCCAAGGAACGTGAGTGCCGCTTCCCTGTACGCAGCCGCCGCGGGAAGAGGATCGCCGCGGGACGGTGGTAGTAGAAGAGAAAGCGCATGCTTGCTGACTTGTTTGGTGATCTCCTTTTCCAGGTTCAGACGACGTTCGCGGAGGCGGTCGAATCAAGTATTGCGCCCGACGAAATTGCCGTCGTCGGCCGGAGTGATCAAGGGGCAATCCGAGGCTCCGCTTTGACCGAAAACGACGATAGCTCGGAATCGTCCCTTGAATCGTCCCAAGGAGTGCTGCGCCGAGCGCGGCTCGAGAATTCCAGTCCGGAGAGGGATGACCGCGCATCCCGACGTTAGTAGCTCGCCGGAGATCGCGTGATCGCGTAATCTCGGAAGGAATAACGTAGCTGCATGCATGGTAAGTGCCACTCGCATGAGATCCCTATCAGGCCACGATTGTTGAACGTCTTCTCTCTGGCTAGATACCCACGGTAAAGAGAGGATCTGCGAGGGCTCGTGAAGGCCACCGAATGTTGTGTCTTTGTGCCTAATCGTATATCATGAAAATGCTCTCATTCACAGAGTGTATGACGTGTCAGTGAAAGTGCGGAAAGAGTAAGCAGGCCCATCCCAAAGTCGTCCGAGAAACGGTGCGAGAACGAGGCGGTGCGTCGGTGACAGGAACATGTCATGCGTGACGAGCAGGCGTGAGTGTCTGTCACAGCGGGGCGTCCCTGCTGAAGCCTGTTTTTTGCGGTCATCACGACCAACATCTCGTAGCTCTTGTCATCATCACTGCAAGCAACCCTTGCCCCTTCTACGCTCTGAATATGCTTGCTCTGGCGCCCCAACCGATGCATACACCTGTAGATGTCCCTCATAGAACGCAGCCACCTACCCCAAGCTCGTCGACAAGACCCCCGTTCCGCAAAGTTACCCCCTCCTACACGTCTGCGTCCTCCTCGAGCCATTCTGCTCAAACTAGTCATTCTGGATCCTACTCGTCGCATTCTGCGCCCTTGGAGCCTACTTCCTCCTCCCGACGCTCCACGCCACAGCGGACACCCTCATTTGTGTCGAGCGCTCGCCCCTCGGTCTACGATGGGCATGAGGACGACCCTTCAACACCACCAGGCTCCGAGTCAGAAGACAACGAGCCGGAGTCGAGCGTCCAGTCCGCCTCCTCCGAAGTGGACATTCACGCGTACGACTCCACCACATTGTTACGGCTCCTAGCCAACGCGTTGACCGAGATCGCGACCATGAACACCGATCGCGACCACTCGGAACCATATCTCTCCTCCGCCCATTCACATACCAGCCCTTCAGAGCCGCATCCACCAATTTGGCGAACATTGACTACAGCCTCTCGTCACGCCCTTTCCACCGCCTCCTCTCTCTCCTTCCACGCCCGTAATGTTCCTACGATCGCGCTCGAAGCATACCTCACCCGCATTCAGAAGTACTGCCCCGCGAGCAACGAAGTGTTCCTATCGCTGCTCGTCTACTTCGATAGGATGATGAAATTGGCGAAGGAGTCTTGTGGAAAGGTGTTCGCGATTGACATGTACAACGTGCACCGGCTCGTCATCGCCGGTGTAACGGTGGCGAGCAAGTTCTTCAGTGACGTCTTCTATACCAATTCGCGGTATGCGAAGGTAAGCTCGTGCTAAATCAACTCCTAGTGATTGTCATGGACTTATCAATGGCCACGCTTCCGTCATAAAGGTCGGCGGTCTCCCATTGACCGAGCTCAACCAGTTGGAACTTCAGTTCCTACTCTTGAACAACTTTCATTTGATGATCTCCCAAGACGAGATGCAGTTCTATGCAAGCAAATTGCTACAACAGTCTCAAGTACCCCCTGGTGTTTCCCTCATCCCCTTCCTTCCCGACTCCTCCTCGTCTGTGCCGCACGATTTTCGTCGTTCTCCTATCGGCCCTGTGAAGTACTTCGCAACGCTGGACGGGTATGTCGCCAATCTCCACGCACGAGCGCCCTCAACCCAACGCGATTCCGGCACCCATTACTCCGCTCCTCCAAACACCTCATCTTCATCGCGAACAGCGTCGGGCTATCGGAGATCAACTAGCTCCTATTCTACGTCATCCGCCTCGGACACCGTAACCGACTCCGGTGACACCGAGACGGATATTGATGGTGAGACTGATGATGAGCCCACCATTCGGGCGCCTCATTCGTCGGCTTCCTCCGAGACGATGAGCTTGCACTCTGCGGCAAGCGATGCTGACTCAATCTACACCGAGGATGACCGGAGCGAGGTCGGCGAGGTCGCGCATTCACATCCTCTTGCGAACGGGGCGCGAACGGAAGACTACCGCCAACGGAACATGATGAGCCCGTAAGGCGTGCTTTCAGACTGCGGAACCGTCCCTACGGGCGATGCAAGGCGACGCAGGTTACCGTGTGTCATAGACGTGCTCAGAGTGCCGGGACGGCAGGATCGTTGGACTGTGACGGATGCGTTCGCGAATGCCCGTCGTGTTGTGGATGTCTTATTACAGTAAGAACGTACCGGGACTTCGCTCAAGTTGCTCTCTATCACGTTCGTACGACATTGACCGTGCATTTACTCTCCGTAATCATGCGCATCGGTTCTTTATTATCCTCGTTGCTACATTGTACAGTTGTGTTCAATCCGTTTTTGTCCTCATGTTCATGCGCAAGTATACTATATCGAGAATTGGCAAATATACTCCACATCATCTGTAGAGTTTTGTTATGTGTGGCTTTCGACAGACACCCTGGCTCTATTACGTCTGGATCCAGAAGGGTTATACTAACGTGGTATAGACGAAGGATCATGTTTTCAATCAATCGACTGGCTCTATCATGAGCGTATGAGGCTCTAGCTATGTGCACTGTGTCGTTCGCATATAATCGTGTGGAACGTCAATACCCGCCCTACAGGGTACCGTGCGAATCGCACGTAGATGGACACCCAGCTTTGTGCTCGATCCCTGCTTCTCTGCACACATGTGAGGAAGCGGGAAGCAAAGGGTATGGCCCGGCAAAAATCAAGGGGTAGCGCGAATGTGACAACCCGCACTACTGGGTTGTTATGATGCTGCTTACAACGGATTGAAGTAGTAAGTAATTTGGCGCTTAGCGAGATAGATCGCTGTCACAATGTTGTGATCCACCATCCTTCTTCTCCTTCCAGTCACATTCACACTCACAACACTCCAACATGGCCCAACCGAACGGAGACATAGCCCATGACAGCATGGATGTTGACGGCGTGTCAACTGCTTTGGAGGATCCAACCCTTAAGGTTCTTTCAGACCCACCCCGCACGCGAGCTGCCTCCCTTCCCGCCACTCTGCGGGAGAGCGCGTACCAGGTCGGGTATGTGTACTCGAGCAAGATGATGACCCACAGCTGCATTCGCAGCCACTGCGAGCAGCCGGAGCGCATCTCGCGTATTTTTGACATTCTGAAGCAGAATGGGTGCTTGTCCGAAATGAAGCAGCTCCCGATCCGACGCGTCTTACGGGAAGAAGTGCTCCTCGTCCACAGCCAGTCTTTGTGGGACAAAGTCCTTGCGTTGCACTGTGAGCTACATTCTGATATGCACGTTGAAATTTCTTCTGATACTGATCCATGTATTTCTAGCACTCACCGACCAGGACATAGCGGATTCCGAGGCATACTACAATGACCTCTCTCTCTATGTGCATCCTACCACGCCTTACGCAGCACAGTTGAGCGCGGGGGGCGTCATCGAGGCATCTCTCGCCGTGGCCCGCGGCGAGGTCAAGAAGGCGTTTGCTATCGTCCGACCTCCAGGTCACCATGCTGAGCCCGATGAGCACATGGGCTTCTGCTTCTTCAACAACGTCTCCATCGCTGCGAAGGTTGTGCAACTCAGAACACCCATAAAGAAGATCCTGATCCTTGACTGGTAAGTGATAGGTAATAGGGTTGTTTACGCGCAGCTGACCTCTGGCAGGGATGTCCACCACGGTAATACTTCCGCGACAATGTAGCATCCATCAACTGACAAGATACAGGTAACGGCACGCAGCGCGCCTTCAATGATGATCCCTCCGTACTCTACATCTCCCTGCACCGCTACGAAGGTGGGAACTTCTACCCCAACGGCCCCTTCGGGAGTATGACCTCATGTGGGGAGGGACGCGGTCTTGGCTAGTACGTGACCGAGGCAACGACTGCATCACCCAGCAGGGACGAAGGTTGATCACCGTTCGTCGACAGCTCTGTCAACATCCCTTGGCCGGAGCCGGGTATGGGGGATGCCGACTATATCCTGGCTTTCCAGAAAATTGTTATGCCCATTGCTCTTGAGTTCAGCCCAGACCTTGTCATGAGTCAGTCCCGCTTCTCAAATGTTGAGAGTGTGCCTTGACACCGACCTGTCGCAGTCTCCGCCGGCTTTGACGCAGCAGACGGCGATGATCTGGGCGAATGTCACGTCTCGCCCGCAGGATACGCGCATATGACCCACATGTTGTGCTCTCTTGCCGGGGGCAAGGTCGTGGTTGCACTAGAGGTACTGGTTTACATTCCTAGGTTATGTGTGACGGGACTGAGGTGATGTTGACCAGGGAGGCTACTGCCTAGATGCCATCGCCAACTCGGCATTGGCGGTGACTCAGGTCATCCTAGGTGGCATGCCCCCTCAACTAGAACCTATGATCGCTTCCGAGGCCGCTACCGAGACCATCTACCAAGTTGCAATGGAACAGAGCAAGTACTGGAAGAACCTCGATCCCAAAGCTTGTGAGCCCATAGAAGGTACTCATTTAGACCACCTCGAACAATGATTCGGCTATATCTGACACAGCGATGCTCTCGCAGAGCTCGAGCCCATTGCCATCTCCCTCCCAGGTGCGCTAGTCTGGGGAACACTGACATCGATCGACCCGTGTTGATAGACTGGTCGGACGGCAGAGATGTTGAAGTCGCATCGTCAAGACTATCTGTTCAGGGTTCACAGAATGGTGGAGGTGCCGCTCATGAACCAGGCTCTCATCGAACGCTTCAGCGCCCAGGTCGCGTGCACGTCGGTAGCCCTTTCCTGCTATATACGTCACCGTTCCTCACCATGGGTTATAGGCCTGATATAATGGAGAACGAAACACTGATTGTTTTCGTCCATGAATTGTGAGTTCACACATGGAACATAAGATTAATGCTAAACTCTCTACAGCGGTAACCTTCGCATAGAGCTGGAATCTGCGATGTACTGCGACGTCCGCCAAGAGCATTCGTATTTGGTATGCGAGTTGTTTCATGTCGTGCTCTCTAGGTCATTCTTATAGCTTGCGAATATGCCTCAGGTTGATTGTTCTAAAGAATTGCTCACGTGGGCGAAGAAAGAGAACTATGCGGTCTTGGACGTGAATGTCTTTGGGAAGCCATATGCTAAGACGAAGGCATGGTCTAATTCAGTGCAATCTCAGCATTCCAACATCTCAGATTACGGTTACAGCTGAAACATACGGACGACTACGCCGGCGCAGTTATGGTGTACCTTTGGGACAACTACATCCAGTATGTCCCTAGCACTTTTTACGCTAACCCTTCGCTAATAGGTATTTCCCTAGACTCACCGATGCACGACAAGTGATTCTCGTTGGGCACGGCCCGGGCTGCGCTGCGCTCATGAGCTTGGTTCAACAACGCGGTACATTTCGTTCTGGCTATGTGGCCGTGTGCTCGCCTGACTAGTCGAATGATGCAGCAACGGGTGTCATGAAGTCTGTGCAGGGTGTCGCGCAAGTCGTTGGAAACCACAACGTCCCAGCCACCCCACGCGACATGGAGGGACTCCGGCAGTGGTACTATGATGCAAGTCCTTTCCACCTCCCTCTGGGCTGTGCACCTGGTTTGCTCACCCTTCTCATAGAACTCCATTGTTATTGTGCCTTCAAACCACCGCATATTCCAAAACCCAAAGACGTTCAAGAAACATGGCTCCATATTCCGCATCGGTACGTGTTGCCGCGCTCTCGCTGGCCGAATTGTTACCGATCTCTGTGCCTGCGCAGCTGAGGAGAAGCCAATCAAGCTCATCATCAAGGCCATGCCCGGCATCCAGAGCTTCATCAAGGAGAAGCTCGGTGCTGGGGCTCGCACAAACGGCGAAGCCAAACGCTAGTCTCCCGTTTTTTCACACCTGAACTCCAACACCTAGCAGGCTCCAAGGAAGCTATCTAAGGGAGGAGTTGGTGCGTTCGAGAAGTAGCGGGGAGAGGATACGCATCGCCTAGTCCCAGTATCGCAAGGCCTAACTCGCTGTTCCTTTCCGTGGCGTTCATGACGACGTTTCTTCCAGTCGCGCTTTGTATTGTCATTGCTTTCGAGCTGTTGTCCTGTCGTATTCGCACGTATATCCTTGTTCTTATCCCATATTCCTGCGCAAAGCATTCCGCCCTCTCGGATCACGTTCAAATCTGAACCCTGGTACTGATTACAAGTCGCACGGAACAACAACAACATGCGCAGGGACAAGCTACACTCCATCTTCCTCGTCCATGATCACCTTTAACTCCCAGCCCTTCATATCGTCATCCGGCTCCTCCAATGCCCACAGAATATCCTCATCGTTCTCTCCGTTCTGCCGTGTATGATCCGCGGTACCGTTGACCTCCTCGACTCCGCTTTCAATGTCGACGTCTTCCTCCTCTTCAAGCATTTTGCGCCGGGCGATCTCCGCTTCGTCCTCCTAAGAGTGTGATTAGATAGGGGAGCATATCACCGATACGGACACGACCTACAATGTCAAATTCGTCTTCTCGTTCCTCGTACTCGACGTTCTCGTCCACCTCCTCGAACCCTCCTGCGAAGGCTCCCCAGCGCTCATCCGTTGGACAGTGCCAGATGAAGATGTTGCCCAAATTCGTGACGGAAGCTATCGAGGGTTTATGCGGATGCCACTAGAGCGTGAACGGTCACAAAGGGCGTAATGAGGATAGCAAGACGGCGTACGTGCACGTAGGTCAGCAGCTCGCGGCCTCCGTCGAGCGTGCTCGCAAGGAGACCCTCTCGCGCGAGGTCCCAGATGTAGATTTTGTGTGCAGCATCGTCTGCGGCGCCTGACCAATATAGTCCAGCCATGAGACAGACGTTGAGGGAACGGTACAATCAGGGCGTACCTCCTGCTAACCACTCTCCGTCTGGACTGTACGACATGGCATGCCACGACACCTTGCTGATGGGGTCGTGGAAGCGGTGCGTCGGCTCCAACTCCTGTTCGATGTACTCGCCATCCGCATTGGGAGGTGCGTATACTGGCAGGTTGAACTGTCGGAGGACACGGTCAGAAGAATTCGTCACTATTCGTCTGTGCTGGGCGACGTGTCAGTCACAAGGTACTCGTCAGTCAGGGCAGGAATCAAGGCGCACCTTCCTGACGCGACGAATTCGAGGCCACGGATGATGCCTGCGCCTGCTATCTTATGTCGGGCTATCATCTGCGCGAGCTACGTGAGGTGTGGTTCCCAAACTGTCACGATGCACATACGGTTTTGGTGCGAGTGTTGAAAACTAGGAGTGTACCCAATGTCGTACCTACGAAGACATGCTTGCCTGACGGGTCAAACCGTGCTGCTGTTGGGGCAGACCTAGTGCTACTCCGTGAGTCGGCGCCACGAAGGACTCCACAGAAGCATACCTCGATCTGTTGTATTGACCCTCATCGTCACTCTCATCCAAAGCCTCGATGAGCTCGTAGCGTCCCTTGTATTCCTTACGTTGGTCCACAATGTAGACCTCTCCGCTGCTCAGAAGGACGAGGATGATTTTGCTTGGGGAAAGATGAGCGAAGACGTCAGAGATCAGGCATTTAGCAGATACGTACCTGTTTTTGGGATGGAACGATGCAAAAACCACAGGTACGTCGAAGCGAATTGTAGACCGACGGCGGGGAGGTTCGCTGTCGGAGGCGAGGTCCCATACGATTACATTCCAGTCCTTCGACGACGTTAGGACATAGCGCGAGTTGTGCGACCAGCTAGAAAGTATAAGAACTCACAGTAAGCCACAAGAGCTGATCGCGACGCACTCGACGCTGGTAATACCCTTGACATGCCCCTCGCACGTCCGCACCGGACCCTTTGTGTCCAAGTCCCAGACTATAGCAATCCCGTCCACGCGCCCTGCAACAATGAATCGCCCCGATGGATCGTATCGAGCTATGCTAGCATACGAGTCCAACGACGTCTGAATCGCCGTCGGGTACGGCGAAGTGAACAGGTCTATAGGGAACGGTCGAGGTCAGCAATCCTGACAAGCAAGATAGAGAGGTGTATCGGACTCACTTGCTACCGCTCTGTTCATTTTGACCACACGTACCGACAGGCGTTTAGAAGGAGGATATGGAAAGGAAGATAGTCTGGGGTGCAAGCGAGCCTCTGGTGGCTGGAAGCAAGCGAGGGGACGCGTGAGGCGCGCGCGATGAATTGGCCACAGTCGCGTACTTCGCCTGAACCATCACCGTCTATTGTAGACATCGTCCCCTCCTGCATTCTCAACTATGGCACAAGAGCATCGTGAGGATGCTGCCACGTCCTATGGAGGCCTCAAAGTTCCCATTGCTTTCGCGAAGCACGATGAGACAGCCGAAGCGGAGACTGTCGTCCACCTCGAAGAATGGAAGAGGAAAGCATACGAAGTCCTGAGCAGGTTGCGAGAGGATCTCCGCGCGCGAGGACCTGTGGATGCTGATGCTCAAGCAGAGATTGTATATTATTTGTCTCCCTTTGCTGGAGATGGGCCATGGGTGCTGGAGCGAAGTCGAAACGTCGCACTAGGCAGGTACCCGTTGTCTTCCTCCACAGCCTCTGCTGACTGCCGGGCTACATAGACATTCTGAATGCTTATGTGATATCGTCCACCGACTTACAGGAGCAAGTCCTCCGTGGCTTTATCAAACCCATCTTCCAGCCTAATCCCCATCCTTCGGTTAATATCGAGACAGGTCGCAAGCTTCCTCGCCCGGCCGGTGGTCCTCTTGGTCACCTGGATTATATGGAAGGGCAGGAGTGGAAGAATCACCCCGAAGTCTCGCATGTTATATCTTGGTGCCTATCGCATACCGATGTGCGTTTTGTGTGACCACAATCTCACCGTTCCTCAATCTCTTACTTTAACTTGCACCGCAGACTCGATCCGTGGAGAAACTATGGCATCTGTTCGTTCCTCCCATCATGACAATGCTTGACGATTATGATGCGAAATACAAATTGCGAGGCGTCCAACTCGTGTCGCAGCTGCTTGAGGTCTCCCCTCCTGACCTGCTGCGACGTACAGGGATTGACACTCTGATCCTCAGTGTAAGTGTGACATTCTTCCTGTCGCCTCAACCCCACCCTTTGGTCGTCGTGCTGACGTTTGTGTAAAGTCCCTCAAGACATGTCTGACATTCCTCCAACATCGGGAGACACCAGATCTCATTCGCGCAACCGTGCCAACGAGCGTCCGACTGACCGAGCTCACGACCGCAGACGGCTCTGAGACCCGCTTCGATCAACTCTGCGCCCTTCTAGGAGATTGCATCCTAGCCAATATATGGCTTTACGCCTCGAGGGAGCTGGACGCCTTGCAGGCATCTGTAGACGCGATCCCTATACTTGTTCGCACTTTGGGCGTCGGAACTTCTCGCTACCTGAAGGTGAGCTGGCAGGAGCCATGCTTGGCGCCCTCGAAATTCATCTCGGAGTAACAGGGCTTGATCCCCCAACTCGTCTTCCCTCTCATTCCGAGCCCAGATAACGGCGCTAGTGTGGAGTACAAGCTCTCGTCCCTGCAGGCCCTCCTTGCGGTCGTGGAAGTATCCGCGCCCAGGATACCTAAGTGGCGGGGTACAATCCTGGAGGCTATCCTGAAGTGCTGGGTGGACATTCCGAGCAATGCGACAGCAGAAGGTGGCAGTTGATATGCGTGCAGTTACGACCCGCACTCACCGAGCCGTCTGCAGAAACGATACAATTAAAGGACCATTGCCGTGCCGTTTGTGCTGTCCTGTGGACGGTTTGTCAGTCTGTTGCAGAGGCCGTTCACGTATGTCCATAACGCACAGCCAAAGTCTCAGGAGAGGGGCTGACTTTGCTTTAGGGGGACTATGAACGTATTCTGTCACTGAACCCAAAACTATTCGGACCGCTCCTGCAGCTCCCTTAGGTGAAAGCGTCAGCGTAGAGTAGAACGGATGAGAAATATCTCTCGTCACATACATCGGACACCACGTCAACTTCTCTTGGTTGGTTGTAAGAAACGTGCCACGTATCTTGTTCTGACGCACGAGCGATATTCTGCTGAGCCTAGCGTTTCTCACGTAGGTTGGGTGAGTCACGCACATGAGCACCATGAGTTATTGTTGTGTGCTCCCTTTGAAGGGGTCGCAGCCATGAGGTTTTCCCCATCTTCTCGAGAGCAATCCCGGACGAAGCAATTACTAGCTCAGTGTAGACATCAATACATAGGAAATGCTCTCATCTGACTTCACAAATAATATTGTTCATATCGTCCATATCATACATGCATGCAAACGATATCGAGGGGGACTCATGTCCGACATGCAAGTCATACTGGATGAGTGCAGTCACTGACTTATGCTGGGTTGAAGACATCTGAGCTATCTCCGCGAAGGCCCAACGATGCCATAAAATCTGACTGCTTGTGAGAGCACCAATCAAGTGATCGAGAACATAGACTTACCACGAACGATCGCGTAGCCATCCCGTAATGAGCTGGATGGTACGCTATACATGGGATAAACTCTCAAAATCTGCCGGTATTGTTCGGTCACGTTCATCGTGTCACGATTGATAACACGTTGTTCTTCATGACAATGCGAGGGATCAATTAGAGTATGCTAGAAGTATATTGTAAAGCCTAACTGACCTGTTATCTCGGGAGTTGTAGCAGTAGAGATGGGGAGCATCTCAACGTCACCATGATCAGCAATCATTGTTGCTTGGCCTGCAGCTGGAAGAGCGGGTGGATGGGTTGCAGTGTTGGTGGTAGTTTGCTGAGCGCCCTTGAATCTGCTTTTGGTGCGATACTGTTTCGTTGTGGTCTGCGGCATGTCAGAGAGTGTCATCTGGGTATCAGTGAAGGATATATGACACACCTTGTAATCCTTGTTCATGTCTTTGACACCCGTGCAGATCTCGACCCATTCTTGGGATAACTGAGCCTTGATAGGCAAATAGCGAGCCCATGGATTGTCGGTCAACTCTAACGTGAACTCATCGAGGCGATCTTCATATCTACACAAAAATGGGAATGCTTTCGTCAAACACATGGATATGAGTGTACGAACCACTACGTACTCTTCAATAGACTCCATCATAGCCTCGAATTCTCCCGGATGGTCACGCTCGAATCGCGCCCTTTGTTCCGGCTCGAGGTTGGAGAGTATCTTTTTCCATCGCCTCAGGATGGCCCCGAGCTCCTCGATCTTGGCTTCGTTGGGACAGCGGGAGGCATAGAGTCCAGCTACAGGGCGGATCAAGACGTGGTGGGCGAACTGGATGGTGTTGAAGACATTGACGACAAAGCCGAACTGGTCCACGACACCAGTGCCATCAAGTAGGCCACGACGAGCATTGCCCACGTCTGTATACGACATTGTCGGATGCTGAAAAAAATTAGCGATCTCAAAGGAGTCGGACAGCTTACAGCCCAGTGAAAAGCTCACATTTTACGCGCTACGCGCAGATTTCAAGAGTGGGGAGCAGTCAGCTTTACGCGGCGGCAGGGGGCAAGTGCTGGGACTTGAAGGGTACTGTGGGAGGGTAGTGGGATATAGCAATTGGGTGGGCTCTGCTTCTATGCCCCAGGACTTTATACATGCGTAGTTATGGTTATCTGGAAGGGACGCGTTTCCCGAACGGGCGTACACAAAGAGACTTCGGCGCTGTGAACATGGATTTCTGCGCCCGGTCTCCCGGCGCTTTTGAAAACGCCTGCAAGCGAGCACAGCCAAGAAAACCTGCTTTCTCTCGCGGTCGCACGTCCACAGCAGGTTTTCTCGGCTGGAAGACCGCCGAGACGTCCCACCTGAAGCAGGGACTTGATCCTCCTCCCGTTTCAACGATTTCGATATCACAATTATCACTAGTATACAGTGCATCCGCCAAACCTCTCTGTGCAGACATTGCAAATCCCGCCAGCAACACGGGGGTTGAGGAGCGTAGGGGAGACTCCCATCTTGCACTCAGCCATTTCCAAGGAGGAGACGGACGACCGCATCGTTGCCGGCCCTCGCCGTTGCCGTCGCAGACAAACCGCGCGGGCTCGAGCTCGGGAAATGTGAGGTATGAGATGCATTATCCCAAGCGCACGACATAGCAAGTGTAATGTGAACAGCCTTCTGACACCGAGGGTCTGTTCACATGCACCCACAAACTATTACGTATGAGTCTGACATGTTCACGTAGTCCGCGCGGGGCTATGTAGACTGCAGCAGCAGCAGCAGAGAAATCGATCAAGGCAATACGAAAAACAATGCCTACCTATGGGGGAAAGTAGCGTATGGTCGTCTCAACGTTCAACTTTTCTCTCAAGCAGTCGTGAGCAGCATGGGTGTCAGTAGGTCCATATTATAAACTCCGAGATAAGGGTTTCGCTAGTACTGCTTGTGTTGTACCCCCGTCGGAGATCAGTGCGCCTATTGTTCTGAGTTTCAATGAGTTCGGCAGGACGGCTGTCACAAATGGCACGGACGTCCCGCACTTCAGCCTCAGACATCTCTCCCATTTCCCCTATACTTGCCCTCACCATGTCAGGGAACGATTCCGGTCCTCGCAGAGAGCGTTATGCGACACTATCGCCTGTGGAGATCACGTGGAGGGACAGACAGCAGTATCTGGAGTCCCGGGGGTATATGCTCCGACGTCGTTACCGACCTGGCTGGGTACCGTCTTGGAAGACAGACCCGAGCATTCGAGCTAAAGATGCGGAAGACTCTTTATCAACTCATGTAAGTATGACGTCCCCTGTTTGTCGTTCAAAACTAATTGCGTCCGCGTTCGTAGGCGTTGAGGTCGAGCCTCATGGATGCTACGAGGATCGCTGACGGCAAACTCGTCCTACTCAAGCGTATCCGTTCAGATTCTCAGGAGCTGGAAATTGCTAGACGATTTTCTTCCCCAGAGTATCGCTCGGACCCGCACAATCATTGTGTACCCATCCTCGACATCATACCGGACGCGGATGATTCACAGATGTCATACATCGTGATGCCTTTTCTCCGCTACGTGGATAACCCCCCCTTCGAATCTGTCAAGAATATACTCGACTGCATCGATCAGTTGCTTGAGGTATAACTTTTCTTTCTGTAGTCCGGGATGACAACCAACAAATGACGGCAGGGTTTAGCATTCCTACACGAGCACGGCGTTGCTCACCGGTACGCACATCACGGTGTCGTCCACAACCATACACTGACTTCGATCTGACTGTAGTGACTGCGCCTACAAGAATCTCATGATGGACGGCTCTGCTCTCTATCCCGACGGGTTCCATCCAATGTATACGACTTCTATGCCCCAACAGATCAAGCGTCCGGCCACGTTACTTTCTCGAGATGATGTCCCTGTTACCTATTACTACGTTGATTTCGGGATCTCGACTCGGTTCGAGCCAGAGGATACGAACAGACTTGTCGTTGGCTCTGATGGGCTAGACCAAGACCCACCGGAGCTTTCTGAGGATGACCCTTATGATCCATTCAAGCTTGATGTGTTTATCATTGGGAATTTCTTTCGGCAGCAGTTTTTAATGGTCCGTATCATGTTATTTGTCCAGGAAATCGTCGTGACTAGTTCTACAGACATACGCAAACGTGGACTTTCTTGTCCCACTAGTCAATCAAATGACTAGCAGGGATCCTGCATCGCGACCAACTGCTGCAGCTGCACTTGTTCATTGGAAAGCGATACGTCGGAGCATATGGAGCGTGCAACGATTTTGGAGACCTCGCCCACGAGGGGAGCCTTTGATTGTACGAGCAATCTTCGATGGGTTTTCTTTGGTAAGTCTGTGTCTCGCGGGCAGCTTTTTCAGAGCGTTTACTCCTAACCCCCCAGTTCTACGTCATCTATAGGTTTCTGCTTTTGGCTCGATTATGAGTCGAAGCACTCGCAACCGTTAGTGTTCCTGCATATCCGTATAGTTGCTGTCGTTTGTCTAGATGCTATGTGAATACGTTGTCTATTGGTACGGTCTACACACCACAATCTGTTTGACATTCCAATACGCGTGGATTAGTCTTGGCGCACTATCCGAGAGACTACCAAGTACCCAACGGCTCTGGTCTGGATGTGACTGTAGTATGGCGTTGAGAAAGCTATATCCCACCTGGCCGACCGTTTGCCGACGGCTCGCCAGACTAAGACGAGGACGATGAGGACGTCAAGATGAAGGTTGACCGGTGATCTCCTGCCTGATGCCACTCGCACCTCGTAGCACCACTGAATCGACCGAGATAGGTCAGTTCCACATGAACATCATTACCTCTATGATTTACTGGACTCCTGTTACCGTTGAGTTCCGACTCGATGGAACGTATGACAGAGATTTGATCTAACGATATTGAGGTGGGTTACTCCACGCAAGGTCTGTTAGGCGAACAAAAGATGCAGGGGTCTGAATACAACTAGCGCACTGCCCATGCCGTCAATAATAACGTCAATATACGGGACAACGGTCCTCGTAGTTCAGTCGGGAGAGGTGGTTGCCAGGAACAGCGTTCTGAAAACGCTCTTCTGGCACACAAGGCTGTCCGGAGGCGGTTGTCGCGCGGCAAACTCGTACGACTCGACCCTAAATGTCAGCTATCTATCCGGCCTAAAGAACTCCATTCTTCAGCATGGCCGAGACGTCGCCCAGGTAGGCGCCCACGCGGCTGAGATGCGAACTCGAGAGCACCCACAGGCTGGCATGCTGAACCCTTTCTGGAGCTTCAGTTGGATATTCCGAAATATTGATGTGCCCCAGGCAAAAATGCTGAAGCGATGTGGAGGTGAGAGGGAGAGCGGGACCTGGAGCGAAACCATTCCAGAGGTGCCGCGATTGTAACATACTTGTGCGGCATCTGCAGCTTAGGAGGGTTGGCGTTCAGACGCTCTGCAGACCCGGTGTTCAATTCGCGTGAGGTGGGAACGGTTGGGCGACTCGGCTCGCTTAAGATGTTGTTGTTATGCTCCCTTGTTGTCCCCGCTCGAACAGATGTCATCAGGAAAAACTGCACTTGCTAATCAGGGATAATTACCCCTAATTAGGCCGATTAGGGCATTAGTCTCATTAGCTTAGTCCCGTCCTAATGAGCGGCCGAATAGATGGCCATTATGTCCATAAGCGCGCTGCGCAAATGGATCACTAATGCCCTCTTACAGCGCTCTTATGCCAATAATTTGTACACTCATTTTAGAACCATATATATTGTGTCGTTACACATTACAGATGGCGACACGCCATTATATTGAACATCCATATACTCTAGTACAACATGACACGACAACTATGGCTAGGGGAGACGGACCTACGGGACAAACTAGGCATCCTACTAGGATATGGGTATATCTGCCACCATAGGCTGATGCTGTATATACTGATAGAGGGCAGGGAGAAAGAACTGCGAAGGAACGGTAGTGCCGAACAGGCATTGTGATGTTAGTCTAGTGCTACTGTACTTATTGGAGGACATGGGTATTACACACGAGCAGGAAGTATACGCGATGTTAGGGGATGGAGGGACTTACACACATGCAAGGAGAGTAGCCAGTTCGTGCAGCACCCAGGACATGGAGTTGACGGCGACTCATCGGGGCAGGCGGGTAGAGATAAGATGAAATGCACAGACCTGAAGCTTTGTGGAGTGTGTGCTCATTGATCTTCGTCCACCCACCTGCACTAGATTCTTGGCCTTGCTGCTGTTTCCAAAGGAACAAATGAACACAGTGCGTCGCGCCACCTACCAGCTAAGGTCTGAGGAGGTGTTCGCATGCCAACTTTACATACTTAGACTATACCAGGACTAGAGCAGAGACGGAGGTGAAAGAGCGATCTACCGTGACGTGGCAGCTGGGAGAGAAGACTTGGACTTAAACGCCCGTCGAACTTGCACGTCTAAGCTCGACGGGCGTCTGAACAAATGTCCTTCCGTGTCCAAGTACAGGTGCTTGAAGAGGCAGCCGTGCATCCGCCAGAGTGCACACGATCGGACAATACCTGCAACCTCTCGAATAGGCCACGTTCAAATATACATGAACCGCTAGAACAAGGAAGTACCTTGAAACTTAGTAAGTCATGTCGTCGCTCGCCCACATTTGCCGCCCGTCATTAGAGACGGTGAAGAGCGGATTAGCAGCCATTATCAGGGACTACACTAATTTATCTCTAATTAGCAGATGCAGTTTTTCCTGATGGTCGCAACCCCAAGGTTCTCTTCTCACCGCCGGACGATTCACATCGTGCATCAGAGGTTCACATGAAGGGTTATCCGAATCGTCGGTCAACAATGGATGCTGAGCGATTTGTGGATGACGCGACTGGAACTCCACATTTGTTCGCCCGGGTGACCCAGCCCGGTAGCCTGTGAGGTTCGGCAATTCATGCGCTTACCATGGCATCGTGGGACGAGTCGCTTCGCAACCTGAACGCGGTGCACCATTAAGTGAAGGCCGCCTAGTAACGTCTGTAAGCTCACTGTCATGGCCGCATGGAGCGCGCACTGACAGGAGGAGAACTGACCGGACAAGACAGTGTTCGCGTCCTCGGCGGCTAGGGAGTCTTCGGGGAGCTACCGCGGCAGACAAGTTCAGGAGACGGCGCCAACCAGCCGCCGTATCTGCATGTTGTCAGAGTGGGAGGACAGGGGTCCGCTGATCAGTCCATGACAAGGTATCCCCAGGGCCGCGACCGCAGCACCATACTCGTGTGCATTCCTCGTGCGTACCATGTTGACGGTCACCCATGGTCGATTCGCTGTTCCAAGCCCATCCTTCGACTCATGAGGCCGGCCACGATGGCACCCCTGGAGCGCCTCTGTAAATCGGGCCGGCCACGCTCGGACGATATCCCACACTCGAAGTATGCTGTAGCCCGATGAGAGAGAGTCGATTGTCGCATTTTCTGCTCAACGTCGCGCCGATCGTGCCTCTCCATCCGATAACAATTAGATAGGAACGCCTGCGGGTCTTTGAGGTCCTACAATTTAGAACCATGCGCTGAGCTCTCGGAAGCACGGTGCCTGAACCTTCAATGCAGGGATATGTCCATACGGAGTCCCACTGCACACCTTTGAAGAAGGAGATTCTAGATCCTGTATCGTTTTGAACAGCTTGAGGGAGGCTCCTATGGAGCATGACATACTGTAGAAGCGGCGACTCCTAATGGTAGCGATTCCCATGAATTAATGATGACGAGAGGAAAACCTCGACGCTGTCGGACTTTGCCGGGATTGTTGCGGCAATAACCGACTAAGCCTGCCAACGTCGCAACACTACTTACACCGTACATGACAGCCAGGAACCATCCCGTGTCAATAACGCACCTCTTTCTTGCACAATGCTCGCTAGTATGGACTCCTCCTTACCGTTCAGGTGCTCGGTCAACATGCCTCGTATGATCCAACAGCATTAGGAAGCATTGTTCATCCAGCCGGAGCATCAGACTCAAGTGGAAGGTGAGCTGCCAGTGAGCGTAGATGACTGGTATTCGTGCCATGCGTCCACATGTCTGTTTGGGCAGCGTGTGAGGTGCTAGGGTTGGGGCCGCATTGTACTCGAAAGCGGTTCAACCTTGACCTGGGGGGAAATTTCCTGTCCACACGCAGAACATCGATTTTTCCGTCCCTTCCCTGATCCCTCTAGCCACCTATGGGACAGAGACATCAGGCATCTCTCATAGCCCGCGTCCGTCCTCACAGTGCTCCTCCCAACTACCCGGGGCAACTACGCCGCATACCAGCTGCGTATCATAAATGGTGTTATGACCGAGTTAAGCCCCCCTGAAGGCTGCGTGCCGCTTCATAAACCTGATCAACAATTTAGAGAACCTCTCTGGGATCCGCGCCGAACTTCGGGCTCTTGATGGACAATACGGACAACACGGAGAAGAGGAGCCTTGCATAGTCAATCACCGTACGCGTCTGGCTTTACGTTGGAGCACAATATCATGCATGCTTGGGTAGGCTGCTGGGGGAATGCAGGTGAGCGTTTGCCACGCTTCCTATATCAACATTGCTGGCCGGACTGAGTCCTGTATGCAGACAATGATGACGGAATCACCATTCTGGACATAACTGAACCCGATCAGCCCGTGTAGTGTTTCTTACGGGACGAGCACGTGCTCGATGCTCGCGCGTACCTCAGGTTCTCTCTCGACGACGACGGTAAGTCACACAGTCATCCTTCCGTTGTAATGGATCACAAAGAATGACAACGTGGCTGGACGAGGACAGAAGCTGTGAAGGGTCTCGAGAGCGCCCCTCTCATCGCTGTCGATGTCTTGGCCGAAGCCTGGCCGCAATTTAGCTTCGAAGATCCTGCAGCCTCTACAGCGCGACCCCCTCCTAGAACCGCAAGCGTCACAGTAGCAGATGCTGCTGCCGTCCCATTGCTGTCGACATGATTCTGTATGTCGCCGTAAAGCATTCCATCAATATTGACGACGACAACAACAAAATCTCCGTCTGGCATTCCTTACTGTTGAGAAACCAACGTCGTACCCTCCGCTTTCACCTTCGTCGCTCTCACGGACGACGGATACGTATCCTGCACCCTATACCTTTCTTTACCCCTGCTCAAGTTGTACAGGCGCTGACGGACATACTGCCGTGGAGGGAGCGCAGTAAGCTCGGCGACAACCACGCCCACACTACGCCCCTCGCGAGCCTTTCTGCATTCCGCACTGGGCTGCGCAAGCCGGGCCAAACGCTGGGTGAGCGCACAGTGGTGTCTGTGTCCTTGCTTTCTCCGCGGATACCTCGTGGTCAAAGGACCTTCAGGTGTTTGGTTACGCGCACCTGAACGCGACTCCTACGACAAGCAAACTGTCCATTACGCAGAGCCAAGTTTCCAGGAGCGGGACTGACTTTGCGCTAAGGTGACTATGAACGTATCCTGTCACTTAAGCCAAGTTTATTCGGACCGCTCCCACAGCTCCCTGAGGTGAAAGCGTCAGCATAGAGTAGAACGGGCGAGCAAACCCCACACAACGGACACTAGGTCAACTCTCCGGATTGCTTGTAAGAAACGCGCCACGTATGTTGCTTTGACGCAGTCGTGAATAGCGTGGGTGTCAGTAGGTCCACATTACAAACTCCGAGGTATGGGTTTGGCTTGTGTTGGACCCCTGTCGGAGAACAAATGGTTGTGTCCATTGTTCTGAGTTTTAATGAGTTCGGTGGCTGTCACAATTGTGGCGGACGTCCCGCACCTCACTGGCAGCCCCCTCAGACATCTCTTTCTTTTCTCCTATACTTGCCTTCACTATGTCAGACGACGCTTCCGCTCGTCGTAGAGAGCGTTATGCGACACTATCGTCTCTGGAGATCACGTGGAGGGACAGGCAGCAGTATCTAGAGTCTCGGGGGTATATGCTCCGACGTCGTTACCGACCTGGCTGGGTACCGTCTTGGAAGACGGACCCGAGCATTCGACCCACAGATGCGGAAGATTCTTTAACAACTCATGTAAGTCTGACAATCGTTTGTTGTTCGAAACTCACTGCGTTCGCGTTTGTAGGCGTTAAGGCCAAGCCTAATGGATGCTACGAGGATCGCCGACGGCAAGCTTGTCCAACTCAAGAGGATTCGTACAGATTCTCAGGAGCTGGATATTGCTAGGCGATTTTCCTCTCCAGAGTACCGATCGGACCCGCGCAATCATTGTGTACCCATCCTCGACATCATACCGGACGCGGATGATCCGCAGATGTCATATATCGTGATGCCTTTCCTGCGCGACGTTGATGATCCCCCCTTCAAGTCTGTCAAGAATATACTTGACTGCATCGATCAGTTGCTTGAGGTACAATTTCTCTTTCTGTAGTGCGGGATGACAACAAACAAATGACGGCAGGGTTTAGCATTCCTACACGAGCACGGCGTTGCTCACCGGTACGCACATCACGGTTGCCCACAACCATACACTGACTTCGATATGACTATAGTGACTGTGCATACAGAAATCTCATGATGGACGCTTCTGCTCTCTATCCCGACGGGTTCCATCCGATGTATACGGCTTCTATGCCCCAACAGATCAAGCGACCGGCCACGTTACTTTCTCGAGATGATGTTCCTGTTACCTATTACTACGTTGATTTCGGGATCTCGACTCGGTTCGAGCCAGAGGATACGAACAGACTTGTCGTTGGCTCTGATGGGCTAGACCAAGACCCACCGGAGCTCTCTGAGGATGACCCTTATGATCCATTCAAGCTTGATGTGTTTATCATTGGGAATTTCTTTCGGCAGCAGTTTTTAATGGTCCGTATCATGTTATTTGTCCAGGAAATCGTCGTGACTAGTTCTACAGACATACGCAAACATGGACTTTCTTGTCCCACTAGTCAATCAAATGGTTAGCAGGGATCCTGCCTCGCGACCAACTGCTGCAGCAGCACTTCGACACTGGCAAGCGATACGTCGGAGCATATGGAGCGTGCAACAATATTGGAGACCTCGTCCACGAGGGGAGCCTCTGATTGTACAAGCATTGTTCTATGGGTTCTCTCTGGTAAGTCTGTCCAACGAGCAGCTTTTCAGAGCGTTTATTCCTAAACCCCCCAGTTCTACGTCATCTATAGGTTTGTGCTTTTGGCTCGATTATGAGTCGAAGCACTCGCAACCGTTAGTGTTCTTGCAATCTGTATAGTTGCTCTTGTTTGTCTAGATGCTGCTATGCGAATATGTTGCCTGACGGTACTGTCTATACATCACAATTGGTTTGACATCCCGATGCCCCTTCCTCCGTCCTCAAACGCGTGGCTTGGTCCTAACAGCACTAATAGAGATAGTACTACAATGCAGGGGAATGTCCATGCGAAGTCCCACTGGTATGCACAAATTCTAGATCCTGTATCGCCTTGAGCAGCTTGAGGGAGGCTTTTGTGAAGCATGATATACTGTAGGAGCGACGACTCCATGTAGCGATTCCAAGTGACTTTGGTGGCAAAAGGACAACCAAGACGCTCCCGGACTTTGCCGGGATTGTTGCGGCAACAACCGACAAAGCTTGCCCGCACCAGCACTCGAGGCCCGACGCTCATCGCAACGCTACACCGTACATGACGGCTAGGAACCATCCAGTGTCAATAATGCACCTCTTTTTTGCACAATGCTTGCTAGTATGGACTCCTCCTTTCTGTCCAGGGGCTTAGTCAACATGCCTGGCTCGATCCTAATCCAACTGCCAGTGCAACCGGTCCAGGAAGCTTTGTTCGGCCGGCCGGAGTGTCAGACTCAAGTGGAAGGTGAGCTGCCAGTGAGCGTAGATGAGTGGGTCTTCGTGCCATGCGTCCACGCGTCTGTTTGGGCAACGTGTGAGGTGCTAGGGTCGGAGCCGCGTTGCACTCAAGAGGGGCTCGACTTCAATCGTAGAACATCGATCTCTCCGTCCCTCTCCTCCATTCACTCATGGGCCAGAGACATCAGGCATTTCTCATAGCCCGCGTCCGTCCTCACGGTTCTCCTCCCAATTACCCGGGGCAACGACGTTGCATAGCAGCTGTGTACCATCAATGGTGCTTTGACCAAGCTCCCCTCGAGGCTGCGCGCCGCTTTGTAAACTTGATCAACAATTCAGAGAACCTCTCTGTGGTCCGCGCGGAACTTCGGGCTCTTGAGGGACAATACGGACCACACGGAGAAGAGGAGCCTTGCATTCCCAATTACCCTTGCCCGTACACTGCATCCCTTCTGGGTTCTGCGTGGACGACAGATCTGGCAGCCGGGCGGAGGATGTACGCGTCTGGCCTTACGTTGGAGCACAATATCATGCCTGCATGGGTAGGCTGCTGGGGTGATGCAGGTGAGCGATTGCCACACTTCCTATATGACATCGCTAGCCGGACTGAGTCCTGTATGCAGACAATGATGACGGAATCACCATTCTGGACATAACTGAGCCCGATCGGCCCGCGTACTGTTTCTTACGGGATGAGCGCGTTCTTGATGCTCGCGGGTACCTCGGGTTCTCTCTCGACGGCGACGGTTAGTGTCCACATGGTCATCCTTCCGTTGCAATAGATCCTAACAAATGATACTGTGGCGGGGCGAGAATAGAAGCTGTGAAGGGTCTTGAGAGCGTCCCTCTCATCGCTGCTGATGTCTTAGCCGAAGCCTGGCCACAATTTTGCTTCGCAGATCCTGCAGCCTCCAAGGCGCGGCCCTTTCCTAGAACCGTAAGCGCTACAGTAGCAGATGCTGCTGCCGTCCCTCCTCTTGTCGACATGATTCTCGATGTCGCCGTCAAGCATTCCATCCATAATGACGACGACAACGAAATCGAGCGACTCATGAGGCTACCGGGCAAGGCACCAGAGATCAAGAGCATTCTACGAGGTGTCAACCCGTTCCCGGACTCTGGCGTCCGACTGCTCATACGCACTTTGTCCGAGTTGGAGGAGGTCGCTCGCGTTGACCTCTCAAACTTCCAGCTCTCCGGCCCACAGCTCGCTCAAGTGTTGTCTGCTGTTGGTGAGATCGAGCTACTAGACGCGTCGTCCAACTCGGTCCTCGTCGCAGACGATATTCCCACCCTTCTTGAGGCGGCCCCGACCCTCCGTCGTCTCGTGGTCATGGATTGCCCTTCTATCGTCGACCGGAAGATCCTCGATCTGGTGCAAGAGGAGCCTACTCACTTCAGGACCCTTGAAGGTCTCCTTCATCCTGCATTTCTCACTATTGAGAAGCCACTCTCGTATCCCTCGGCCTTCACCTTCGTCGCCATTGACGACAATGGAGACTTGTCGTGCACTTCCATACCTTTCTTCACTCCAGCTCAGGCTGTACAGGCGCTGACAGACATACTGCCGTGGAGGGATCCGCATGAGTTCGGCTGCAACGGCGCCCACACTAAGCCCCTCGCGAGCCTTTCTGCATTCCACGTTGGGCTGCGCAAGTCGGGCCAAACGTTCGGTGAGCGGACGGTGGTGTCTGTGCCCTTGCTTTCCTCGCGGATACCTCGCGATCAACAGGACCTCTGGGTGTTCGTGTTGCGCGCACCCGAACGCGACTCCTCTTGGTCCTTCAACAAACGACCTATCAAGAACAGGTGGGGCTTTGTGCGCTATATCAAGGCCGAGGAGGGCCGACCAACCGACGGTCCGCCTTTGACGGACGCCGATACCACGAGGGCGAAGTCGATCCTCAACAAACAGCTTGGCTGCTCTGGCCGGGTGTACGACCTGCAAGGTTTTCTCGAGTGCATGGCGCGCGAGGGGAGGCCAATGCCGTCCGAAGAGGCGGCGCAGGAGCTGGAACGCCTTCTCTACCAGAAGGTCATGGAGACGGGCGAGTTTTGCTGCCCGTTCATGGACCTGGAGGATGCGGTGGAGATCGAGCCAACGGGGGTGTTTGCCCGTGAGACTGGAGAGAGGTACCGGTGATCGGCAGCTTGCTTGATGTGTCCTTGTGCGTAGGATGTCTTTCTCGGCGACGGGATCGTGTTTCTTCAAAGATTCGATCTTAGCCCCGATCGTTGGTATTTTACGATGTACTGGAATCCGGCGACTTTTTTCCTGTACGATAGCTCATTGGACGTGTTGTTAGGAGAGTGAGAGGCGGTCCTTGTGGTGGACGTAAAATGTAATGACGGATATTGCCATCGAAGCGGAATACGCGGATAGAACCCTGGTATGATGTTTCCTAGTCGCTCCACATGGACATGCTGCTGTTCATTTGATGTGGCAATATCTAACCCTCACGCTACAGGTGAACGTCAGGTCAAGGCTCTGTTCTGACAGTCCTATTGCCGTACTTTGTCTTACACCCGTATCATTACCGTCGTGTACGTTTGTCGAGCGATGCAAACACTCGTCTTGATCGTTAAGAAGGTTACATGTGCTGGTATGTGATGACATACTCTCATCTCAATCGGGCATGTCCTCAGGGGAATCAGAGGCGATGATATGGTACTTGACAAAGACACGCATACATGTATCTTTACCAGCTCTGATGATCTCGTGTCATAGAATGTGGCGGTACACGCGGATGGGATCACAGTGTGTTGTTTCCAGATTGCTCCACATGTAGGGATAGTTGAAGCTAGCGGAGCCAGGCTACGAGACCGCGAGGGGACCACGTCGCAACCTGTGTTCGGTGACTAAGCTATCGAATGCATAACAAGGCAGAGGTGGGCGACTCCTAATCCTTCAATGCGAGGTGATGACCCCACGGAGACCAAGCACGGTCGTCTCGGAGGATGTTCGGAGTTGGACCTGTGCTTGCTCGAGTTAGCCTCCTAGGCCACAACAGCATATGGAATATGAGGGCTGCAATAAGGAGGCCTAGCACTCCACTGGCGATGAAACCTGTGTTCCTCCGCTCGTTGTAGTGGGTGAAAGCGGACACACAGGTCTGAGAGGACGGCGTCCTGCTGATCATTCGGGAAGTCGTCGAGCCTGCCGAAAACACGAGCGAGGTGGAAGACGACGCGAACGTGCCCGCAGAAGAACTCGATAGATCGCGGTCGATTCAAGGAACGTGTGCTAGGGCACAAGTTGGATTTCAGCGTTGGCTCCGTGCACGGCGGGAGCAACGATGATATGCACCCATCTGCTTCTGGTGCGAGCCGTGCGGCATGTCCCATTTCCATTGAAGACGTCCGGCTTCTGTCGGCGCGTGGGTCCACCGATCAGCCACTCGAGCGAGCGCAGCGTTCTGCCACGCACAATTGCCGTCCCTAACGGTGTCGCCTCCGGGTACCTGGAGAAGAGCTACACGTTCGGATGATCAGCACTTCGTGTAGGGAACTTTGCACCCACGCTCTCAGGGTAGGATTGAAGACTGTACTCCAGCTACGTCATGCAGCAAGCACTTGACCCAATCAGAGCAGCTCGGAAGGGTCCGACCGGTATTGAGGTACGGCTGAGGAGGAGGGGAGTCGACCGGCTCAAATTGACACAACTCACGGGCTTCCGTCATAGAGTACACGATATGATCGCAAGAACAATTGACTACTCCCGAAGAGGGCCCGGCGTAAGATTGTCCGGATTCCGTTGCTTATAACCATTCTCGATGAAGTCAACAATAGACGAGCACCGAGCGAAAGCTTCTGCTCCCTATCGTTTGTCATCTGCGGGTGCGACTCCTCAGTCAGACATTGACAGATGCCAGCACATTTTTGTTCTGCTCACCCCCGGCGGTGCACATGAGAACACTGACTGCTCTTGCTAAGACGATCACGGGTGTGTAGTCAACCACACTGAGAAAGAACAACAGGCATATTGAAATGGAACTGGCTGGTTGAATATGAGGCAGCAGAGGCGAGGCTGCACAGCTTCGTGCAGCTGCAGAGCAACGACCTCCCTCGGACACGCTCGTGCGGAGGGCACGAGTACATGATCGAAACACCACCCATCACACAATCAAATACTTGTGGGTGTCGGTGTGCGCAGATACAATACGACTTTGACAAGAACGGGCCGAGGACAGCGAGAAGTCGTGTTGAACGCCGGCGCCCAAGGTTCCCAAACACCGCCGAGCAAGCGCGCGGTAGCGAAGCTGACGTGTGGAAAGTTCGCGCTCGCAAAGGTCTTGTGAGCACCGGGCTCGAGGTGGCGGAATGCGAAGGTGCTCACGAGCAGATAGAGTGCCGAAGGACGAGCCCCTTCGTATGAAGACCCCCGAGCCTCGAACGAGCCTGTCCGCCTGTCCGCGCCAAACGACGCCCGAAATTCGCAGATCGCCGCGCACGCATATGGCGATTCCGCTTGCCGACGACTACAAAGAACGTTCGATGACCTTTGGATGAGCAGGGTGCCGACGTGTTGTGAACGTGTCCGTCCATCGATCAGATACAGTGCGATAGATGTATTCGTGGTAGCGTTTTACTACATGTCACCGCGGGCAACATGACGTATGTCCAACCTAGATAGGCGACTATGCCGGGTCCACAAAGACACATCAGCATCGCAAAGCAATACGTGAAAGAGGACAAGCATCACCGGAGGCCCGCACGACAATATCTGCTGCAGGTGCGTGCCAAACGCAAAGCGCTAGACTACGCGGCCCAGGCTTACTGGACACGCACGCTCGCGTCCGCGCGGGTGCCCATCGCAGACCCCCTGGATTACGCGACTTGCGCCCCTCCTCACGCAAACGGCATTTCAGGAGGCGCGGTTACTCATCCGCTAAGCGGACCCTCGCACCGCGTGAAGCGCCAGATTACGGAGGTTGGGAACAAGGAGAGGATGAGCGCATTACCGCCACATTCCCACTACATTCCCATGCATGTTCCCCTTCCTGGGGAACATGCTGAGTATTTACATGTTACCATCGCATTACCATCATGTTCCCTACACTCCATTCTAGTGAGCTCGATGCCCTGCAGACAAGTCTCGAATATGTGTCAGATAAGAGTTATCGCGATTATTGGCCTTGAGCCAGATATCGCGGTCACGGCCTTTGACGCGTCCTTACGCGCGTTTACACATGTCGCGACTTGCACTCTGCCCGCAATACACCCGCGTTATTCTGTGCATCCAGCCATCATCTACGACACCCCATGCCTCCCAAACCACGTTGGCAAGAAACAACAAAATGCGAATGCAAATACAAATGCTCTAAGAAGATCCATGGATTCGACTACGTTAGCAAGCAGACCGCGACAAACCACGCGCGTACTGATCGTAAACTCGTGGCCGCACAAGCTGCCAGTCAAAGTGCCGCACTTCAAGCTCACAATGAAGTCCAGCGAGGCCCCGGAGAACCTTCGCACAGGGTATATGCGCCGTTTGCGCGCGAACATCGGTCCGTTACCGCTAGCCTGAGCCGCAGTGGCGCGATCTTTCGGTGAGTCTTCAATGGTTTCTGACGGACCAAACGAGCTCGAGACACATTGTGGATCTTCGCCTTGACGTTGTCGATGGTGTCGGAGGACTCAACCTCGAGCGTGGTGGTGTTTCCGGTGAGACTCACGACGTTTTCGTCCCTCACAGTGCTCCCACTCTGGGCAATGCATCCCGACCTTTGTCGCCAGTACTTGATGACGATTATGCACTCTCTGGGCCTGGGATCGACTTCGATGGCTCGGTCAGGTCTGACTCTCCTCTGGGACTTGATGGCGCTGACACGGCGATGGATGGGCAAGATCTTGTTCCGGCATCTGGCGCGCCTGCATCTCTGGGTTCTTCTCGGTCATCCAGCCCTTTCGAAAATGTCGCGCCCACCCTGCCACCTGCTCCGGCCCTCTTAGATCTCACTGGCGACGCAGAATTGTCGACTCTGGTGCCGGCTTTCCAGGAGCGCCCACCAGTCCGTCTCGCTTACCTTCATGCCGTCCTAGCCAACATTTTCGAACATTCGCCAATCTTGGATGCTGAGAGACGGCTGAACGATGAGCTTGCGATCATGAAACTGTGCTTGGGAACACTGCCTGACTCTCCCCGAAAACCTGCGCGATCGCTTGTCACGGCACGCAAACGGTTAGGTTTGAATGTCAATGACTACATTGCTCTCCAGGCGGTTTGCACTGCATGTTTCAAGGTTTACTCATCTGAAGATATTGATGCTTTATTATCACCCCAGTGTACAGTCCGAGGCTGTAAAGGCGAGGTGTACAAGGAGACCCGCAAGCGTCCGGCAGCGTCCGGTGCAGAAGATGAGACCTGCAAGCGGGTGCCTGCAAAGCTTGCAGCATACGCTCCGCTTCTCAAAGCCCTCCCGCGTTTTTTTCTTCGCAAAGAATTTGTTAATGATTTAGACAGGTCCTGTAATGATGCGCACCCTCGCGCTGTAGGTTACAGTGAACATATGCATGATTTGCAGGATGCCGAGGCTTACCGCGCTACCACACTGGATTGCGCCCGCACAGTTCATGAAGATGGCCAGGTGGAGGACGTTCAGGCCTTCTCCGGGCCGCGGCGCACCCTCCGTTCTATCAAATACGGGCAGAGCTTCACCATCAATCTCGATTGGTGAGCGACTGATTGCGGCCCTGGAGACGAACCATTGACTCGATTATTTTGTAGGTTTGGTGTGACGGAGGGGCGGCCGCACTCCGTCGGGGCGGTGTATCTGACATTCAACAACTTACATCGCTCTGTCCGGTACTTGCAGCGCAACGTCCACCTACTCATGATGATCCCCGGCCCGCGCGAGCCAAGCCTTGAACAGCTCAATCATATGCTTGAGCCGGCTGTCAAGGAACTCAAGATCCTTTATACTGGTATGTCCGGTCCTTCTTCCGGCGCTTCGGATGATCTGAACGTGTTGCCGAACGAGCGTGATCGCGACGTTCTGCGCGAACATCTCGTACCGTCAGGTGTTATTACTTCCAACATAGGCATGTCGTTTGTGATAAGCGTTGACGTGGTTTGTAACAGGTGTCCTGCTTTCTGTTTTTGGAGAGCCTAACCCAGTGCCGATGCACGGAGCAGTCGAATGCCACACAAGTGATGCCCCAGCATCGAGCAAGCTCAAAGGGACAGCGTCGCACAGTCATAAGACACACCTCTGTGGGTGTTGTGGACTGGAACACGGAGATCTGAATACGGAGGCTGGGTACGATTGCAAGAGTATGTATTTCGCATACACTAGACTTGTTTGCTCACTTTTTTCAGGCTTCCGGCTGCGGGATGATTGGGAGATGCTCTCAGCGTCTTTTAGAGCGAAAGAGGCGACATCAAAAAAAGCACGCAAGAAGATCCTGGATGAGACGGGCAAGCGCTACTCAGTGATGGACGAGCTCACCGGGTGGTTTCCGGTCTCCACATCAGCGATTGATTTTATGCACAACTTCTATGGTATGTTCAGTGATGTTTTTACGCCCTGTGCAAGCGGAGACTAACCTGTTGGGAGGCATGGCAACACACATGTTCACGGAGATCTTGATTGGGGGGCATCTCCTCGATGCAGATGGGTGGCGGAGGCTTCAGGCCATTGTAAACTCCATTCAGTGGCCGTCTGGGATTGGACGGCTGCCATCTAACGTAAGTTTGTTTTTCTCGCTAGCAAGCTTAGCATGCTTCTAACACGCTAAGCTCGGAGAAAATCGTGGCCTTCCGAAGGCCGATCAGTGGCGCCGCTGGGTGAACATCCAGTGCACTGTGCTCTGGCTAGTCTGGAGAGGTGAGGATGACAAGATCCGACGAGGAGCCCCCGACATCCCCCATAATGCGAAGACAAAACCAACATTCGAGCGCAACCTCGTGAAGATTTACCGCGTTTTTTTATACGCGTCTTTGGCGGAAAGGATTCTTGCCGCTAAGAGCATCTCCAAGGAAGAGGTTGAATATGGCCATCGTTTTCTTCAGTGGTGTTGCCAGGAGATGGTTGCGCTTGGCATCCATCTCGTGCCTAACTTTCATTACGCCATGCATTACCCGCAGTTCTTTCGCTTGTTTGGACCAGTCTATGCTTGGTGGCTCTTCGCGCATGAACGTTTCAATGGCGAACTCGAGAAAGTCAACATCAACGGCCATGCTGACGGTGAAATGGAGTTGTCGCTTATGCGCAACTGGATTACTAAGCATCGTTTGTACGAGTTGGTAAGCACTGCCCATTGCAATGAATGTTCTATGATTGCAATCGCGTGCTAACGGTTCCAGATTTCTACACTGCCTGCTGATGCCACGCCGGACGAGCGCGCCCTTCTCGAGCGCATATGTACCGAGCAGGGCGCAACTCGTGGGACCCTCCGCACTCAGATCGCAGCCTTTGCGCGAGGCGCGTCAACGATCCTGAAGCCCAAACGTGTCAAGAAACCAACCAATCTTCGCCGTCTTGCTCATCCTGAGATCTACCGCCTCCTCCTCGAGTTTATTAGGTCCCGACATCCTGATCTCATTATTGCTGACGATATGACTCGCACATCAGACCATGATGCAATCCTTCTCGCTGATGGCTCAGTTAAGGTTCTCCCCTTCATCTGCAAGGATGGGCTTCGATTCGGATCAACTGCGGATTCTCGCACACAGGCAGACTCTTATGCATGTGTCGATTTTCCGGATGGCCGAACACCATGTCACCTCCTGTATCATTTCGAGGTCACTGTTCACGGCCTCCCCCCCATTTTTTGCTCTTTAGTAGAGCGTATGCTGTCCGATGACAGTATGCCAACCTTCCCTTGGTCGATGTAGTATGTACTCACTCTTATACCTAACATGGTTCTGATGTTATGTTGTTGTACAGTTCGACCGAGCTTGGAGTCTACGTTGCATATCAGCACCGGTTCTTCCCTATCGAGTTTATCGACAGTTCCCTTCTCTCTGCTGCAGTCGCGATTATACCCGTGACGAGCAATGTTCGTGGGCTTGAGCATCCAATATGGGTGGTGCACTCATTTGATCGTGTAAGTCCGATTTTCATACAAACATTTTGCGATTGATCATCATCTTTGTACATGCAGACAGGAATTGAGCCAGACGACATTTGGTTCAACGACCTACAAGATGAATTGGACCAAGAATCCGAGAACTCCCCACTCAGAACATGACGTCGCACCAGCTGACACGCCCTCGACTAATCCTCCAACGACGCAACAATCAATGCCGGATCAATCCCGTTGGTCACCTTCGCAACGCGCGCGCGCGCAGCTTCAACAGCATCCGTGTCGCCGCGCGGTCGTTTCGTCTTTCTACCCTCCCCCTGCTTTGCTTTCTTCCGCTTTACCGGTTCTTCGACTGGATCCTCCTCCTCCCCCCACAGCGTCCCATTTCTAGCCACTCGCCCCGACTCCATCCAATCGGGGTTCGCCTCAAGCACGTCCGCCTTTACCATCCACGCGCGCACCCGGTTCTTCAAGCGCGCTTTAGGGGGCTTGACTTTCTCAAGGTCTGTCCCCAGTACTCGTTCCTTCATGAGTTGCGCCTGATCGGGGGAAGGATCCGGTCGTGCATCGACCTCGTCGTAGAGCTGCTGGAGCTGGAACAACTCTGGGTAAGCATACGCAATTCACCCTCGTCCCCACCACCCAAAACAACTTCTGATCACTGGCAAGGTCACGACATCTTTCGTCCCTTCTAGTTCAACAGTCCCCGTCCTGTATCCACTGCTGCCCGTCTCGCTTCTAACGTCTCGACCATCGGGTCCCCAGATGAGTACGCCTCAGCTCCCTCCACAGATAGCCACGTCGCAGCTGAACATGCCCCAGTGCGCGATACCAACACCCTTGCTCGTACCGGATGACAGCACGCCGTCCCATGGTGGTGCACAGCTCACTGCTCACGCAAGGCCGAACCCTCTTCCAAACGGCGTTGGCCCTCCGTTCAACATGTCGTACTCTCCGCTGACTGTCGGACACTTCACGAAGGCCTACTTCCAGCAATGGGTACCGGAACTTCCCGTCAACCAGCCAATGCTCAAGGTCGAGGGTCGCGAGATCAACCTGTACCAGCTGCACTACGATGTCATGAGCCAGGACGGCTTCCGGATCAACGTCACGGTCCAGCAGATTGCGCCGAATCAACCTCCTCTGCTCGTTCCCTCTCTCGTGATCTCTCAGGATCAGTGCCCACTCATCCCGGGACGGCTTGGGTTCGTCAACTTCTCCGGTAACAGCCATGAGCCCACTAAGTCAGGGCCTGGTATCGCCATGCACATCGAGCAGGTGTACAAGCCATGCCTGCAGGACTTCGACAGCCTGTACCTCCGCCAGCTCTTCCACCAACGACGGCTTATGATTCTCGGGCAGAAGGTCAACGGTGGCGACATGTCCGCTGGCCCCTCAGGCGCCACGGCTCCGCAGGGCTTGAGCGACATCAAGGACCCGAGGGCCCTCAGCGAGATCATCAGCTACGTGGCGCTCTCTGCCCCCGAGCTGCGGGCACACGGTGTGCCCAACCACATCATCACACTCCTCGAGAAGCACCGTGACCAGCCAAAGGCGACGCTCCAGCAGCACCACGACTTCGCGAAGAACATCCAGATCGCGGCGCAGGGCCAGCTGCACAAATTCTCGAAACTCTGCGATAGCAAACACGAACGCGAACGTAATGCTCCACCACCATGCCAACAGGATGAACGTGGCAAAGTATCTGAACTCACCAATGCGCTGCGCCACCATGGCCTGCGACGTCGGTAACGCACAGGTGCGCCTGCAGGACGCTCTCCTTCCTTGTGTTCGTCTTCGTTGTCTGATTGCGCATTCACCAGAAACGCCCCCGCATATTTTGGATCGCCCCATGGGGTACCCTTGGCCTTCCTCTGCCGCTGCACAGCGACCTGTCAAAATGTGTGTTCATGCATGCTAACGTCATGTTTTTCATCAGTGTCATCACTCACAGTCACCGCGCGGGTGCGCCGGGTACTTCGTTCCAGCCGCGCGGCCTCTGTCTCGCCCTCTGGCCCGGGAGCGTCTTCGTCATCCCCCCCTCTGGTCCAAAGCCATCGTCATCGTCTGCTTGCCTTTCCTGGTTCGTTTGTCCCCCCTGTTTGTGATATTGCCTATACTCACGCGCCATCGTACCCGAACTTGACAGCGATCCGTGCTGTCAGGTGCTCATC